CCTTCCCTGTGAGAGAAACGCCGCTCAGATGTGAATAAGTATAGAGGTGTGGCCTTGATTGAAGACTGCAGACTTGCTGTAAATGATAAACATATCTGCTTTTTGGTTCCTCGCACCATCATTTTAGAGACGTTGGGTTTTGTGTCGATGGTTTTCCATCCCCTTTGCGGTTTCTTCTCCAGTCTCCTCTCTGGTTTTGGAGCGCAGTCCTGACTCCGGGGTGTCACACGAACCCAGACATGCCTCTCGGCCAACGGTGGAATAAAAGGTCAAACCAAAGCATCACTGCTGGCTATAATGAGTGTCTCAAGTGGGTGAGTGGGGGGGGGGGGCTTGTCATTAATACGCAGGACATTCTGACCGACCGCAAAGCCCCCCTCCCAAAAGAAAAAAAAAAATCATGGAAAAATAGCAGCTCTCTGCAGTGTTTCTTTCTTGTTCTCAAATTCCTTTTAAGAGCAGTGCTCAGCAATTCCCAAACTTTATGACGCTTCCTCCCACTCCGTTTGGATTGTATTTTTCCATCGTAGCTGTGATGTCATCAGGGTTCACAGTGGCCCCCTTACAAGCTCACTGAGGACAGGCCACCATCGTCTCCTGTCCCTCTCTACTTGTTCTCACCTATTTCTGGGTGTCCGATGTTTGTCCCATCAAGAAGAAGGTGCGCAGTGCTGAACGTGTATGGAAGGTTCATATTTAATGGGTCTGACATACTTTGCTAAGCCACAGCAATATTGCTGAACCTGTGCGTTGGACACTAGCGATCGGAGGACTAAAACTGAATCCTGATGATTATTATCGAGTTCCGGATCATGATGCTGCTGTGTACAGTAAATAAATCCACTGGGTCATATCAGTTATTCCTCATTAATTTGTTCACTGTTCATCATTTTTCAGGATCAGCACTAATGGGTCCTGGTCCTCGTGGTACAGTGCTTAGTGATAGCGTAAATAAAAATGTCCTGCATGGCTCACGCCTTCCCTGTTTTGATAGAAGCCATCCGTAAAATCACAGCTTAAACGGAACCAGTGCTGCTTGCAGGAGAATCTGACACCTGTGCAGACGCTTGCAGAGAGCAGGTTCTCGGGTTTCCCTGGGTGCCGAGGCACAGCGCCACATGACCGGCTTTAATCACCCGTGACGAGTGACACGGACCCAAGACGCTGCTCCGCGCGACGTGGTCACATGGGGTCTTGGGATCCCCCACGTCTTGTATTGGTGGTTCCCGTGTCCCGACGGACATTACAGTTGGTGCTGTTCTCAGGTGACAACAGAGCCCTTTTCTCGTTAGGGGACGAGTGGGGAGCCAGCGTCTTTAGAGAACAGCCGCTTTGTTGTTCTGCGCAGCCGTAGCTTGACGGTTCTCCGTTGTATCTGCTCCGTGTTCCTGCTCCGTGTTCATGCTCCTTGTTCCTGCTCCGTGTTCCTGCTCCTCGTTCCTGCTCCGTGTTCCTGCTCCGTGTTCCTGTTCCTTGTCCTGCTCCGTGTTCCTGCTCCTTGTTCCTGCTCCGTGTTCCTGGTCCTTGTTCCTGCTCCGTGTTCCTGCTCAGCTTTCTATTATTGACCAGCACAAGAAACGTACAGTAGCTTTTTTTTTTTTTACCTAAAGGCATTCTGTCAAGTTGGATGGAGATGTGGGGGGCTGTGCTTCAAAGCGGGTGTTCTGTAATTTGGCTTGGACTGGAGGGCAAGTCCCCGTACTGTTCCCATGGTCAGCGTCTCTCTGCCATGGCTTGTTGAATGAGACCCCAGTCTCTCAGTCGCTTTTAAGTGAGGCCTGACACAGACCCCCCCCCCCC